TTCTAAAAATTAACACCACTACCTGAGTCCAGTTTTTAGCCCATAAAAAAGGACGTTTTACCTAGATATGTCCATCCGGGCCGGCCCGGCCCGGAAATCCGGCTTTCTTTTTTGATAAAAAATGCTAAAATTAGTTTAATATTATTATATTTTATATAATTATGTATTAGTATATACTTACAAATTATTATGTAACTATATATGTAACTATATATTATATATACATATATTATATGTAAATATATTGTATATATTTATAAGTTATAACTTGAGAGAGAGAGAATCACATAAGTAGCCGTTGCCCGTTGGGCCAATGGGGAAGAAGTAGCCGTTGTAATATACGATACTTGTATATACTTATATACTAAGAGAGAGAGAGAGAGAGAGAGAGAGAGAGAGTATACACACACACACACACATATTATACATATATAAGAGAGAGTATACTTATATATACATATATACTAAGAGAGAGAGTATATATATATACACATATATTATACATATATAAGAGAGTGTATAATTATATATACTTATATAAGAGAGAGTATACATATATAAGAGAGAGTATACTTATATATACATATATACTAAGAGAGAGAGAGTATATATATACATACATACATACATTATACATATATAAGGGAGAGTATTCTTATATATACTTATATAAGAGAAAGTATACCTATATATACTTATACATATATATACTTATATAAGAGAGAGTATACTTATATATACTTATATACTAAGAGAGTATATATATACACACATATGACATATTGTACAGATGATGAAAGTTACAATCTGACGACTTCCAGAAGGTTACAATTTGAAGACTTTCACATAGAAGGTTACAATCTGACGACCTTTACAACAACTAATGAAAGCTCTAATTCAACAGCCTTCACAATTAACATCGTGAGTTACAATCTGATGACTCTCATATTTTCAAGGAGCCAAGATGAAGGTTACAAGGTGATGATCTTTGCAAACGCTCTAGCGAAAGAGACTACAAATCGACGGTCTCTTCATATTAAAATGCAGATATCTCTCAAACCGTAAGGAATTTGGCAAAACTGACGGAGCAAACCGAACCCTATGGGGTGGATTTGGTCGGCTCCGTCTCGTCGAGATAGCCGATTTTTATATATAATTCGTTTAATTCTAACTTACGGTTTGAAAGTTATGACCTGTTCTTCGTAGCAAGTTATGTTCTAAAGTCTGTCTGCAAGACTGGACTTCGTCAGAACATCGGACTTAGTCTAAAGCTCGTCGAGCCTACCTAAGGCTCACCTCTGCATCCAAGATTCAAAACGCAGAGGTCGTGCTCGCGTTCTAAACTCAAAATGCAGAGGTCGTGGCTGCGTTCCAGATCCAAAACGCAGAGGTCGTGGCTACGTTCCAAACTCGAAACGCAGAGGTCGTGGCTATATTCCGGAGCCAAAACGCAAAGTTCATCTCTGTGTTCCAACTCTGCGTCTCAGGTCCAAAACGTAGAGTTCATCTCTGCGTCTCAACTCTGCGTCTCAGGTCCAAAACACAGAGTTTATCTCTGTGTTCCAACTCTGCGTCTCAGGTCCAAAACGCAGAGTTCATCTCTGCGTCCCAACTCTGCGTTTCAGATTTACAACGCATTGCGGCCTGTGCATTCAGCAACCCAAAATAGGCCCAACTCTGCGTTTTTAGTCTAAAACGCAGAGTTCAGGCCCAGAACGCCATTTTCGGTGTTTGACTCGTTCAAACACGAACCGAACAGTTTCAGGAACCGTTTTTTCCCCAAGATTTGAGGGATTTCCACCCTACTTAGGAGAGGATTAAGGGGGCAGTTACCACCCTTAATCCTATATAAATACGAGAAACTCAATTGAGTTAAGGGATCAGATTTTGTCTCTTCAACGGAGGGAGATTCGGTGAAGAGCGGGCTTGGTTGATCGGAGGCTGGCTTTTTGGATCTGAAGCTTGGCAGCAAAGAAGAGCCTTCATCCTTCGGCTGGGATTTTGGAGATCAGCAATAGGAGCTTCTTCATCCTTGGCTTATAACCGACTATCGGTTAAATCAACTCTTCCATAGAGTTTCAAACTCGTTCAGAGTTCAAAACTTGCTCTGCAAGTTCTTCTAAAACTTGCTCTGAGTTATTAACTCGTTAAGAGTTATTTTCAAACTTTCCACGCAAGTTCTCCACAACGTCAAATCGTGAGGAGAGGACATCGTTCCAGTGAAGCAAAACGTCGGATCGTCAACGGAGAGCAAACTCGACGCGAGCATTCGAGGGAGGCACTCCATCGCCATCGTAAAGAACCCAGTTTTAAACAAAGAGGAGAATCCAGATCATTCTCCTCTCTTTTGTAATCAGGAAATCCAATTGTAATTGAGATTAAAGGAATACAGATCAATTTTCCTTTATTTCTTTTTACTTTAAATTTTCCTCAAACAATTATATATATACATATATTATACATATATAAAAATATATTATATATACATATATTATACATATTATATGTATTTATATATACATATATTATATATATATAATACATATAAAAATATAAAAAAATAAAAAAAAAAACACTATTCCAGGCCTGGCCGGGTCGGGTCGGGCACCAAAGAGACGGATTGGGCCCGGCTCGGAGCCCGGACTTGGCCTGAGTTTTCGGGCCGCGAGCTTTTTGGACACC